AGCTATCGCTTAATTAATGAAAACAGTCACAAACTGTTAGCCCAAGAAGAGCCAAAAGGCTTTAATAACATATACATGTATGAGTTTTATCTCTACTTGGAGATGTTAGCACATTTGTTGAACTAAACTAAGAAAGTCTGTTACATAGTTCTCACTTCGATTGAAAATCTCACTCTGCACCATGTTTTGCCAATCAATATCAGTCCTTCATCTCCCTCTCCCATTTCTCTGTGAGGTATTCTCTTACCTGGAGCAGATAGTAATTCACTTTCTCTGTGCTTTTCATTCATAAATACAACCGCGTTGCCAAATAATGCACATAAAACTCTCGTTCTTATGACACCGCAAGATCAAACATCTGTCTGCTAAGCGTCTGGAAGACTGGAATTTGAAAGTAATATTCAACCCAAAAGAAAATGATTTAAAATGATGTGGTGCCAATTCTAAACATCTCCCAGCTCGGTGCCAAGACGGTGTTGTTAAGCACCTTGGGAGATCCTGTCGAGTTAAAAGGCACTATACAACTACTTTTCTGACACAACTGTGTTGTATATGTTTAGTAACAGGAACAAAGTAAAGAGTAAATCATAGAAAAAAGTGAAGACAGCAAAACTAAAAGGGAAAAATGAGAAGAAAGACAAATAGAACCAAAATTATACTTTTATAACTTTTTATTTAATATTTGAGTATATTTTAGTAATACCACAGTAATAAAGCTATTTGTAAAACAGCAGAATTATTACTGTAATATTAACACTTAGGGTTGCTGGGTGTGATGTAGGGTATTTGTGTTATTAGTGTTATCGTACTATACGCGCACCTTTCTGCTGTACTTTGGATTCGAGATTACAGCTACACTTCTATGATGCAACTGTGTCAATATATGATCAATACAAGTCTGTCAGGCCAAAGACAACAAGTTTTTTTTTAAAACTTGCTTGACAGGAAATGGAAGAAGGAAGGTAAATCATAGATGAAATAAATTAGGTTATAGGAGATAAATAGTTAAAGATAGTTAAAGTAGAAATATAAAATAATAAAAAAAATCTGAAAGAGAATGAGAAACAATTGCACCAGGATGATCTCTGCAAAATCTCTATAAAGTTATTGTTATACAGTGTTTATTTTAGTGGGACAGGGCTATTATTACAGTAATAAAGCCATGTCTGATGTCTTTAGATCTGTAATACTAATACTTTCTGACAGCATCAGAAAGTGAGCAAGCTGAAAATACAAAACTGGTCTCACTCTTAGAAGCTCCCAAAGATCTGAGGAGTTAAGTGTTTCTTAAACTGCTCAACATGTGAGGTGAAACTATTTTTAAAAAGACTTTCCCCTAAACCCTTTCCTTCTTTAAACTCTCTTGTTTTGTTTCCTTCTAGGATTTTTGAGCTTCCGACACCTATAATCTTAAGGTTTGAGTCTATATCCATTTTAACATAACTTGCATCTCTGCAAGAAAATACTCGTGGTTCATTTTCTAGAGTCATTGGCTTTTTCCATCTATCGTTACCATGATCCATTGACCTCCCTACTTCAGCTTGATCACTTAGCAATTAAACATTTTTTTCCCCCATTATTTTCTTTAAAAAACACTTGGAATCAGAAAAGTTCCCTGACTTTTAAAACACCATTGTTTCACTCGCTCTCTTAAGCTCCAGGTACAGCAAAGTGTGAATTACTAGTTTGCTTACTACAAGTGATAGGAAGCAACGAATCCTGAGCTCTACTTCAGCCAATTGAATACTTCACACACTGAATGCCTCTAACAAATTGAATGGATCTCCAAACTTCAAGGAACGGATATTATTGTGAAGTATGAAACATGTCCAGAAAAAGCACTTAAATGTAGGAGAAAAAGCAACACAAACAACCATAGTGAGCGAGAGAGGAAGATTGGAAACAAAATAGCATCCTTTTACCAAAATGTGTGATTTTTAAAAGAACCGATTTGTGAAACCGCCTTTAAATATTGAGCATTTATTTTCCTTAAATCTTGGTAATTTTTGTGTTTATTCCTTTGTTTTTTTTACTTAATCCTTTATATTGTGTGCATGATGACAGTGTTGTAATGCAGTAGTTGGATCTGTAAAACTCCAACAGCTGTGATGGCTGCTCAGGGTTCTTACTGAGCATCCATGCAGCTGGTCAGCTCTTGCTTAAAAGAAGTCTACAAAAGACAAGACTGTGTTAAAACAGTGGCTGACATGTAAGCGATGAGTTTAGCACTTAGTCATTTCTAACGTGAGAGCCAGCCAGCATGTGGATACTACTGCGCACATGGATCTCTGTATGTGAACCTGAATTATAATGGCGCTTGTTATAAAGGGGTTTTTCTGCGTGTAATATTTTATCTCTAGTAAATGATGAATTTAACTATTATAATTGGAAAACTCAATTCGTGAGATTATTGATTATTGATTCTCCTCCTAAGGATGAGACTGTGAAATGAAATGCAGTTTGTGACTCTTGGTTATTGGCCAGTCTGTACTTGTTCCCACCTGTGAGAAATATATGCACGCTGTATGGCTGACGAGAAGAGAGCTTGGGTGCAAGTGAAAGGTGTAATCCCCCATCAAATGTAAGCAGAGCTGGAGAAGTATTTGATAAACTGAAATCATGCAAAATTGTTACATCGATTTAGGAATACCTGTTTCTCTGAAGAGATGAAAGGAATCATTGAGTAATTACAATCATATGCCTCGAAAGATGGAAATGTCAGGATTATTAGGACGCATTTTATTTGTTTAACTAGCTTTGTCTACCACAGTCTTGTCTTTTGTAGAGTTCTCTTAAGCAAGAGTTACATGGGTAGGAGAATGAATGGTCTTGCTGTGTACTGAATAGATAACTTGTCACTATAAAATAGCATTATTCAAATTGTTTTCTCTCTCTGTGTCAATAAGACATTAAACAATCTGTGCTTACATCTTTTAAAATATGGGTTTGGATCAGGGATAATTAAATAAATAAATTATAATTAATTTATATATAACACCTTTCATGTTGGGACGACTTCTCAAAGCACTTGTCATTACTACCTGGGCACCTAAGGTGGAGATGGGAGGGGGAATATGAATGAAACTGCAGTCACAGAGCCATGTCTTGAAATGGGCCTTGAATGGAGGGAGGGAGAGACGGAGAGAGAGAGGGAATCGGAGGGACTCTTGGATGGAGTTTCAGAGAGCAGTGAAGTCCTGTAGCTCAGTGGCTAGAGCACTCGCTTTGCAAGCGAGAGACCTGAGTTCAATTCCAGGCAGGGCGAAACCTTGGGCAAGTTTCCTTACTCCACACGCCTAATAATAATCCCTCCAAAAAAACAAAACAATAATAAATTGGTCATTTTCAATCTACAACTGTTTGTGGGACACTGCTGTGTGCAATTGGCTGCCGCGTTCGCCCACAAATATAGAGCCAATTCACTTTACAGTATATTCTGTGAAGCGCTTTGAGACGTCAAGAAGATGTGAAAAGCGCTATATCAAATGCAAGGATTATTATTATTATTATTAGCAGAGCTGGGCCTGAATGGCTGAAACTCCGTCAGGTAATAGGGCAGGGGATCATGAAGCTGAGCAAAAGGGGCAGTCGAGTTGGTAGGATTGAAATATTGCATAATTTAACATCGCATAATTAAGATCATTCTCCCTCTTACTGCAATAAGACATTAAATAATCTGTATGCACATCTTTTCAATTATGGAATTGGATCACTGATTCCCCATTAATTTCTTTTAAGGTTGGAATCCTGACAAGTTTGAGTAGAGCTGATTACCCACACAAGTAGTGGCTTTAAAGCAGATAATGAGAGTCATTAGCAGAGCATGTCGTCCCAACATGAAGCATCGGCTAGTATTTGACTGTGAAACTAATAAACCTTGCATTTGATATAGAACCTTATCACATCAATGAGATGTCTCAAAGCGCTTCACAGGATTTACTGTAAAGTGTAATGACTGTGTATATTTATAATACATTAGATTATTAGAGAATAATCTTAATATTATATGATAATATATTATGTTAATATAATATGGTATATTATAATAAAATATTCATATTATATACATTTAATATATAACATAATATATCTGTTATGCAAAATGAGATGTTCATATGTGATCCTGTCTGCCTTGACTTCATTGTGTAGCCTGTTATACTTGTGTTCCCTCCTCATTGCTGATGTTCATTCCGATTCATTGATTTACTGGGTACCTTCAATGTCTATCTACCACATCTTTGAATTATTTACAAAAACAAAAGTTAAAACTCTTAACAACATTAAACTGATTCCATCAATTTTATTCTTTTAACCTTATCTGGTTAAAGATAAATAAAACCGTCATTTACAAAATATCTATACGATGCTAACTGGTTTTAAATATATTTAGACTAGCCAAAATGATTGAGATGTCATGTATCATGTCTGCTTTAATTGTCAAGATTTGATACTCGCCACTTTCAATTTGCATGATGGCTCCTGTCTTCTGAAATAAAACTAAACTGTGACAATGCAACGAGTAAAAAAGAATAAAAAATGAACTTGGACAAATAAAGCGAAAGGAAAAACTTTAATACATTTGGAATAAATAGTGATTTTAAATATTGTATAAAAATAAGATGCGAGTACCATGAATGAAACATAGACTACTCCGGACAAGTTGTATCTTTGTGAAGCTGGTCTATAAACCCTTGTACAGAATCTTCTTGTACTAACTAACACTCTCTTGTGGTGTAAAGTAAGGTTGAAATGGAGGGACATTTCAGGACATATGAACAAACTTTTGTTTTAATCTTTCCAGTTTGTGACTTATAACCATTATAATGATGAAGGACATTCTGAGTTTGCGCTTACATGTTATAATAAACTTTGACTTTTAATATCAGTGGAAATTGAACACACAGTGGCTTAGCTGATATGGAAGTGGATGTAGTAAATCAAAAAACTGTAGAGCAATTCTTGCACCCCCACCCCCCCACCCCACGCATTTCCCTCACTCAGCAATGTACACATATAGATACACACACACACACACACAAATAGTCAGGTCCTCATTCATGCAAAGAATGGTAAAATGTCCTCTGGGATTGGGATAAGCAGTAAACTATAGCTTTGAGCAATTCAACTGGCCCGCTTCTGAGCTGATGTGTGAGTGAATATATCAGTTAGATTGCACCAGACTTGTCAGCCTCTTCCCAGTAAGTGACTTCACCTGCACAAGAAAGAAAAGGAGAAATGCAGAATGAGAGGGCAGTCAGCAATACGTAGAACTTGAAGAACATATTAACATTGGCTTTTCCAGAGACCTTTGCACATTACCTACTGCATACACAAAGGACATATATATACCAACAAAATAATCACAGCCTAGATTTGCAGTTTGAACAAAGAATATTCCACATTCCAATTAGCATATTTCAAGCAGTATAAATAACAGTATAAATGACAAAGTGAAATGTAAGTATATTAAAATCCTAGCTAAAATATATGAGTAAGATTCTCTCTTCCTATATTAATAATAAATGAGTCCAAGATTCTATCAAAAAATCCCAAAGCTTGACATTTCATATTAAGAAAATGGCAAATTGTACCTTTGCAAATATTTTCATTAACAAAATGAACATTCCTTGTAAGTGCTTGTTTCTAGGACAGGTCAACTACATTAAAACTGAGGAACAGAAAATAAACAAAGTCACAAATCCAAATCAATGAGACAGAAACTGGGCAGTTTTCATCATCTTCCGCTGCACTCCTCAGATCAAACATTCAAATGTGAGGAAGTTTACAGTTAATAGCAATTTTCTGTGTATTTCTTTTGGTTATCCTTGACACTTTTGCAGTATGACGGTGGTCCACTAACCCAACAAAAAAAAACACTCCTCACATCTCCTGAATGTGCAAATCTAAAATTCTTGACCTCCCCCCACTGATGACTTGTTGAGTAGACATAGAGCAATGTCAGCAAGCAACATCTATTATTCAGATGGTGTTTGCTGACATAGCTCTGTGTCTGGTCGCACAGTAGAAGGTGCTGTTTAGTTTGCTTCGACTGGCATCATCTGTTCCTCTCTAAATCTTTCGTTTTTTTCTATTAATGAGTTTTGTGCAGAAATATAGGTTTAAGCAAGACTTACTTATCCAAGGGAAGGTCCTAAATAAGATGATATTAGCAGCTGGTAAAAACTTTACAATATAAATATGATACATTATAAGGGCCGAGTCTATTTCAGCTATGAAGATATTTATACAAGAAAAGCTAGGTGTTCTGGTGAGAAACGTATACAGGTGTCCGTTTTTTAAAACTGTGTGAAATTCCAGAGGGTTTATTGTCTGTTGTTTTTGTTGAGTGTGTCTAATGGAGGATTTTCTTGTGGAATTGAATTGACTGATTCTCAACATGTTACGGAAGTGCAGAAAATGTCAATGCACACGATTCTTACTGCAAGCAGAAAAGCATTTAATTCTGTCCAATCTTCTTCTTGCACATTAGTTTCATGTTTTATTGCACACGCCAGGTTTATATGATTACAGATGTGAGTTTTCACCTCCTCCAAAATACAAGCAAGGAAGTAGATAAGCCGATAATTAAAACCACTGAAGTTGACAAATGCATGCATCATATTACTCACTTACACCGTACAATAGAATGCATGTATCACAGCAAAGCAAATATCACTTTTGTAGGGAAATCAATACTTTCTGCAAAGTAGAAGAGGGAGTAATTATCTTATGAAACTGGAGGAACAATGAGATATTGAACACACTTTTCAAGTGGTCTATCACATTCAATTATCTCTTCGTATACAGATATATTAACTCTCATGTGTTAAACATGATAATAATCCTTACTTTTGATATTGCTCCTTTCATATCAGGAGGACGTCTTAAAGCAAGATTTACTGTAAAGTGTAGTACGGTGTATTTAAAGGCAATTTAACAGCGACTTCAATTCATAACTAGTACATTTCAAAGAACAGAAGCTTCTGAGATTAGCGATGAATATTTAACTTTACCCTAGATTTAAAAATACTGCAAATCACTTTGAGTTCTTGTTTTCCAAATGATATGATCTCCATATAACGTCCAGAAATAATTGTATCTTTACATATTTCTTAATATAAAGGTGAATTTCAGATACCAGTTCATAGCTTTTACCTCTGTTCATAGAAATGTTTCTCAGAAAGCAGCAACAGTGGTGTTAAGGTAAATGGATACAAAACTAAGTAAGCTTGATTTTAACAACATTGATAACTCTAGGTCTTTTACAAAACAATCACCTTAAATAAGACCATCATGTTTGCACTCCCTCTCTGCTTTGACCCTCTTTAGTTCATATATGTCCACTGGAAGTGTGGTATTGTGCAGGCTGAATCTCATTATCAAAATTAACCTTTTCAGTAATTTCATCAGATTACTGAAGTTGTAATTTAGCTCTGAATAAATCGTAGCTTCAATATCTTTTTACTACATGGAGATGTTGCAGAATAAAGCAAATAAAACTACGAACTGCTATACATCACATATAGATGATTTCAGATATTCGTGCCATATCTTTCGAAATATTAGCATTCTTTTATTGTATGTATAATAATAATATTCGATATAGTGCCCTATCATGTCATCGAGACGTCTCAAACTGTCTCACAGGACACACTGTGCATTTGGTGGGCGAAACGTGGCAGTCAATTTCAAATAAACACACTGTATTCTATGCTCCTTCACGCCTCTGCGGAGTACTGTGATGAACCAATAATCTGACCCTCTCTAATGAAGGGCTATGAAAGCCAATTCTGTTAGATTACTGAATTAGTTTCTGTCTATTTACTGTTTATCTCCTATATTTCAGAATTAATCTCACAATATGTAACATTTATATTTCCACTGATCATTTTAAAATTATTTTTGTAATAATTTCCCAATTCTTAATCAACTAGTACTACACTACCCATTGGGATTTTGGTTTGCTGGTTTGAGGAAATGTCTGCTATTCCAAAGTTCAATGAGATCGTCAACTTTCAATCATGTCTTGAATGACTCGTTGTATGAATTATGAATTGGTGAAGGGCTTGATGCTCAATAGACTGGGATGTCATAGGATGACTGGAAGCTCCTCATATAGTTTATTTTTCCCCAAATGGCATTGAAATTCAGAAGTAAAAATGAAGGTGAGCAGTTCAACAGCTTTGTCTCAACAGATAGAAATTTAGGAAGTAAGGGCATTGAAACACTCTGTCATGAACTAATAAAATAGTGAAACAGGCTCAAAGGGCTAAACGGCCTCTTCCTGTTCCTATATTTCTTCAAGGAATATAATGACGATTCAGGAAGATCTGGACCAATTCAACTGAGGGACCAAAAAGTAGCAGATGGATTGATAAGATAGACAAGTGCAAGCCAATGGAAATGAGATCAAGAAACTCGTAGCATGTGTCCAGAATAAAGGGCGAATATTAGCATAACAAAGATGGAAAGGAAATGGATTTGAGTGTGATTATCAATCATTCACTGAAGGTTTCCAGATGCTGTCAAAAAAGTTTTATCAAATGCTCAGTTGGAGAGCATTTGACACTAACCTGAAATAAGTTCCTCTAAACTTTTACATTCTCCTCCTTCTCCCACTTGCTTCACACTTTACCATGTCACTTAGTGTATCTGTGCCTATAAGATTATACCTTCATGGCCTCATTGTGCCCAATACTGTATTTCCTCCATGCCTCTGCATTTTATTTTTCTGAGTCTCGCCCCTATCTCCGTGACGCAGTCCCATCAGATTTGTGTTCCAGTCATCTTTCCAGATGTCTAAGACTCTTGGTTCTTCTCGCACAGAAAAATTAGAGACCCCTTACATTTATTCCTACATCCCTGTCATGCTTGAGGGCAGAGAACACAGCTTATAATGTTAAACTGGTCTACTTCCTATGATAGATGCAGAATAAATGAGAATTACCTCATGTGTAGGAACCTTCCCTATATTGATCACATTTAGGCTTCATTGTTGCCCACTGTGTAACTATACATACACTGTTTGTAAGATTATTTTAAGATTAAGATGTGGTTGGTGTCTATGATTCTCTAATCTTCAGATGAGCATCTCTGTTGCAGAGCAATGAAAGATTGTGCAAATATCAGGAATATTATAAGCTTTTATTCAGTTAGTAGCTTCTTTCATCTTGCCCTGTAATCTAATATATTTGAAGATTTTTTTTTGCAGTTGCTAAACACCACAAGTATCAAGTAGTCTATATTTTTCATATTTACAAAAGACAAGTAATTTAGCAGCAAGTGAATTTTAAGGGGTGTTACATTTACAGTTATGTGAGTGAGTTGAATGGTCATTTTCCATTAAACTATTACTAAGAAATGATGTTAGCAGTATTTCCTGTGCAACACAAGGGATGTGATAACATGGTGACCTAACGGTCAGTCCTTTTTTGGGATTCCTTTCGACCCAAACCATGGCATTATAACAAGGCTTCTTAGTATATAGGGCCATCGATTGCATGAGTTCAATATTCTTAAACTAGCGACAGATTACTTTTTTCCACTACTTGGTGAAATTGTAACAAGAGGACATAAATTAGATTTGTTTTGCACAAGGTATTATTTGGATGTGGAACGTATTACGATAAATCACTGCTGAGGTCAATTCAATTACGTGATTTATAAATTGAATCAGCTAAATACTTCAAGTAGGAAGATTATAAAAGAACATATGGAAAGAATAGGGAAACAGGATTTCAGCAAATAAATCCCATGGGAGAGCTAGCGTAGCATAGGTACAATAGGCTGAATAGGATTTTTCAGTGGTGAAGATTTTTTGATTATGTATCCCATAAACTGTCAAGATAATCATTGCATAGCTTTGAAAGTCTAAATGGACTCAACTCAGCTGCCATTATAATTCCATTAACTATAAAGATAAAACAAAAGTGACCTCTATGGGATCAGATTTTTCAAATTTATTGCACCTCTGAATTAGATTATTTTCTTACACATAAATGACTGATCCTCACATCTGATATAACATCTTTTACGTCTGGAGAATATCTCAAAGCGCTTCACATGATTAACTGTGAAATGTAGTGACTGTATTTGGTAAGCTAACTCAACAGCCAATTTTGCACACAACAATGTTCCTACAAAGAGCCATGAAGTGAATGACCAATTTTATCTGGAGACTTGTTGTCCAATAACACAGAGAAATTCTCTTTT